ATACATATATATATATATATACCATAGATATTTTGGTATGTATATATATATATATATATCAATCCTTATATGATATACATATATATATATATATATCATATAATTTAAATAATTTTGCTTTGAACAATTCAAGTAGGTGTACAGTATTCAAATCGATTAATTATTGATTGATTAATCTAAGGATATTCTTACGTATTTTATGTAATCATTTGAGCATATACCTATGTGAGCTTTTTTCTTCGTGATCATATTTCTAAGTGAGCATTTCTCCATGTGAGCCTTTTTCCTGTGTGGGCATATTTCTGTGAATATTTTTTATATTTCTATGTGAATTATTTATGAGTTTATTTACTTGTGAGCATACTTCTGTGTGAGCGTTTTTCCGTGTGAGCATATTTCTAGGTGAGCATTTTGCCATGTGAGCCTTTTTCCGTGTGAGCATATTTCTGTGTGGGCTTTTTTCCTGTGAGCATTTATACCTGTGAGCATTATTCTGTGAACATTTTTCTCGTGAGCTTTTTTTCTGTGGGCATTTTTCTGGTCACCGGTCAAAACAATATGGTTGCAGATAGGCTATCTAGAATTGAGGACATCGATTCACCTGTTGTTGATTTTGACCTGATAGCAGATGCACAAATTGATGATGTTGAACTGCAACAGTTGAAATTACATTCCAAATCATTGTATATTAAACAGCACCAATTATCATCAGGAAAACTCTTATATTGCGATACTTCTACAGTACATCTAATATCAGACCATTGATACCTAAAACTTTTCGGATGAAAATATTTAATGCAATTCATGGTTTATCTCACCCTGGAATCCGAAGTACTGTAAAAGAGATTACTAAAAGATTCATTTGGCCGGATATAAAAATAGATATTAAGCAGTCGGCCCAAACATGTATCGATTGTCAGAAAAATAAAGTAACTAAACATACAAAATCAGAATATTCTCAATATCAAGCACCATACGAAAGATTTAGTGTCGTGCATATTGATTTAATTGGGCCTTATTCACCTTCTAATGGATACACTTATTATTTGACGTGTATTTATCGGTTTACCTCTTGGATGGACGTGGTACTGTTATCAAATATCACAGCAGAATGTATAGCAAGAGCCTTTTATGAACATTGGATAACACGATTCGGTGTACCTTCCAATGTTATTACTGACAGAGGAATTCCTTTCATTTCAGAACTGTTTCGAAATTCGGCCTCGCTATGTGGAGTAAAAGTAAACTATACAACTTCTTATCATCCTCAAAGTAATGGGAAAATTGAATGTCTACACCGCACTTTAAAAACAGCTATTAGATGTCATAACTCTCTTCATTGGACAGAAACATTACCAACAGTTCTTATGGGTTTGAGAGCTGCTCTAAATGAGGACTGTAACTATACAATAGCTGAAATGGTTTATGGCAAAACTATTAAATTGTCTGGCGAATTTTTTGAAGACTCAAGCATGCCAATATCTAATGATAATTTGTAAGTAATCTTCGAAATCAGATGGCTCCGTTAAAGCCCTATTAATCCAAATCCAAATGTAAACAAAAGATTTTCATCCCAAAAGATTTGTACACATGCTTGCATGTTTTTCTGCAGGTTGACAGAGTAAAAAAAAAACCTTTAACGCCCCCATATGAAGGATCATTTTTGGTTCTGCGAAGAACCTCGAAATATTTTCTTCTATTAATTAAAAATAAACAAGTTAGTATCTCTGTGGATAGGTTAAAACCAGCTTATGTGTTACAACCTAATGAACTTTTGCCTCCAACTTCAAAAAGTGATCATACATCTGTGCCAAGTCAGCAACTAGAACAACTTAAAAAATCAACCCGATGTGGAAGACAAGTAAAACTTCCAGTTCGTTTCAATGACTCTTCTTGAACTTATAACTCTTTCATATTAATTTAAAACTTAACTATGCTTTTCTTTGTGTGCATAATTTCAATTTATATATTTGTGTCAGTGTTATTTGTATCTTCTTTACCACCATGTTTTCAGAGTAATGTAACTTTGTTACTGGTAAAGGAGTGATGTAGGCAACATTATTATTGGTCATAATAGCTACAACTACTTCTACTAGATAATAACTACTACTTTCACTTCACCTATAATTTTAGCTTCGAAGTGTTGTCATGCATATTTACAAAGCATACAGACCATTTCTCTACGGGCTGCTCTCATTGGAGGAAACATCTGCTTGGCGGTCATATTTGGAATGGCGAGTTATCGCCTTGTAGGCGTGGTAATTAATGCCAAACAAACGGAAGCAGCGTTTATTTCATTCAATATTTTTTTTAGTTTATGAATGAAAGCTTAGAGGAATTGTGTGGAATATATTTTAAATAACCTACTGATCTTATTAATAGTTTATTTGTATTTTAATTTAAACTTTTAAAAGTACGTAATTGTTTTACAAGAAAAAGGTGTTTACATGGAGACAGCATATGCACTTTTTCATCATTTCTGTTAGAAAGAGTCTGTTGTGTAAATTTCCATAGCGCATTAATTTATACCAATAAAGGAATATTAAAAAATTAACCAAATGAAAACAATCAGTAAACATTCAAGGGCGTCGGATACCTATTCTTTTTTACCTAAATTATAACTAAAATTATATTTTATTCCATCATGCGCTATTTCTATTGAAACGCTTTTCGGGATCTTGGATCGTAATCTTACTACTGGTACCTACTACAAAGAGTACAAACCAGTAAACAAAAATAATAAAAATTAACATTAACAAAAATAGAGAAAATAAAGGCGTTTAATTTTTAACACCGCACCCAAAGGCGAAAAGACAAATAATGACAAAGTCATTCAATAAAGTTAAAATAAAAATAAATCCGTGTAGGGCAGAGTTTATGAAAGCTACGCGCGGGGATAGAACCGGCGACCTAAAAGTCGGAGAACTATTCCCGCGCTCGTTACCACTCAGCTGCGGTTTCTCCGCAGCTGAGTTTAGCAGCATTTTTGTCATTAGATGAATTAGTTTTAGATGAATCAGTTTAGCAGCATTTTTGTCATTAGATGAATATCGAAGTCACTTGGCAATAAACACTTTTTTTTATAAGATATAAAAGTTAAGAAACAAAACAAGTCAAATAAACGATATTATAAGTGCTTTTAAAAATATCTTATCACTTTATCTTATTTTTAACCATAAATGAAGAGAAATTAATGCCTAGAGTTAGAAAGTAAAAAATTAATCTGACTAAGAACAATTTTGATACCAAACAATCTCTATATAACAAACAATAAATGAAAGGAAGGTTATTTAGTTAATAAACAGTTAATTTTTATGAAGAAATAACTAGCTTTTACATTTATATCACTTTTAAAAACACTTTTCTGCAAAATAAACCGCTAATGCATGAAAACTGCGGCAGATATTATTTACACAGTAAGAGCTAAGTGCTATTTCTTGACATTGCTGAAGAAGCAAATCTTATTAATGGTCTCCTGTTATATGAAATTTTACAATATATTTCTTAAATATCAGTATATTTCTTTTTTCACAATATATTTCTTAAATATCTAAAGAATTGCACTGAATACAGATTGCTTAGCCAAACGGTATTTACGCAGTATAAAGTTTTATCGATTCCACTAACGTGATTTAACAATTTATATAAAAAGGTGCCGACATATTTTCTTATACTGTTATGTTCGTTATAATTGCAAATATTCTGTTACATTGCACAAATTCACATTAACATAGGACATAACCAAATCCAGAGTAGTTATGAGCTCCTCTTCACATAGTGCCCACCAGCGGCCGAGCGGTAAAGTCGCTGAACACTGGTAGTTCGGTCCGAGGTTCGAATCCCGCGAACGGGCTGGCTGCATGGGTGTTTTCGTGGTTTTCCCCATGTGTAACGTATATACGAGCCAGTTTCCCTTAGAAAGTCCTCCACGAAAGGCATCCCTCCCCTTAGGCAGATAGCCCTAGTGTGCTTTGCCATAATTAAATACACCAACACCTCTTCACATAGCTCAAACGAAACTAATAATTGAATCTTTTCAGCCTGACCTCATAAGCGGCAACCAATAAGAACAGGGGTGTGATGGCTGGGGCCAGGTGCTTGTTGAAATCAGCAAGGAGTTAGCGAGCGCTACAAAGAATAATAAAGATGTTATATATGAAAACAATTAATTCTTGCTTTTGTTTTTTGACGTTTAAATTATTATAAAAAAAGAACTTTGCAAGCAACCACAAACTATGAATGTACTATTATTACACTTACATTTAAAAGTTTGGAAACGTTATTCAAGGTCTCGGGAATAGTTTTCAATTAACTGATATACACCTGATTTTCTTAATAAAAACATTATTAATACTGGTAAGCATCAATTATAAATCTTGCCTCGTTTTCTGCTGAAATTTTCACAGATGTTTCATATAATTAATTGATTTCTTCATTTCGGCATCAACGCAGCTTGTTATAAATACCGTAATATTCGCCATTACTTTGAAACAAATATTGTTCACATGTTTTTCCTTGAATAACAAAAGACCTTTCTTGTTGACATCAAGGAAAGAGAAATTATTTCCAAACGTATTTTTAATTTCTCGCAATAGCCATAAGTTTCTAAATTTTAAAAAAATCAATTCATTTTAGCGGAATATCTGATATCGACTCCATTGTAAACATAGCACATGCGGATGTTGCTGTTATTAAACCACGTGACCACATTTTTCCTCTTCTTCTCTTGTGGAATGTATCTTCGCGTAGTACAAACTCCGGTTCTACTATTTCAGTACTTATTGCATAATTTTGTAACCTATGGCAATTTTACTGATAAAATGTTGTTTTATTTACTTATTACTAGGTATTAATATGAAATTACAGTTTCTTTTGCTTAATTTTCCGAGTCCATTAATTTTTTATTTACGTTAAATATTCAAAATGTAGCTTTCGTTATTCGGCAACATACTTGTAGTGCCATCTGTATTTGGCATTATTATTACGTCCTATTTTCTTGCTAAATTAGTTTGTTGAGAGAAAATTTTTTATGTTACTGCTGCAGTTTTCGAGTTTTTTGAGTTCGATAATAGTATTAACCTGTACATCTGTTACGTGTAAACGAATTTTGTGTTTTTGTGCGATTAAATATCCGACTACTTCATCAATGGCGGTTGCTGGCTTGGGTATCCTAATCACATCCAACATGTAGTGTTCTTCCGATTTATAAATCAGAAATATCATTGATACATTTGTGTTGTGAAATTGTTATTAGTTATTTTATTATTCAAATATCTGTATTAATGCATATATGTTTTTTTCTTCTTATTTATATATATCGATAAAAAAGAAGCATGTGCGGGTGATTGCAAAGTTTGTGTATTTGGAATTTAATGCTGCCGAATTTGAAGTGTTTGTTAAAGTTTTGTGATCTGTGATTAATTTATTTCAATTTATGTGAAAAAGTGCTTTTGTGCAGTGTATTTCCTTAAAATGAAAAGACAGCAAGATAGAGATTCCCCTGGTAAAAAGCGTTCACATTCATCTGTTTCGCGTTACGATGACAGCCCCAGGGACCGATCTTCGCCAGATCGCAGAGAAAGAAGAGGTTCTAATAAATCCCCCAATGATCAGAGAAGGGGACGGACTAGGGATTCATCAAATGAGAGAGGTATGACAATTAGTCGCTCTGGCAGTGCTATGGGTAGAGATTCTTATGATGATTACTCGCGGAATATGAAATCCGAGCGAGGGCCACCGCCAGTGTCAAAAACGTTGTGTGTTTCAAATTTAAACCATAAAGTTGGCGATGCTGCGATTCGTGATGCATTGCTTCGTGAATTTAATAGATTTGGTGAAGTGAGTGTTAAAATTTTTCACAGTGGTAATGAACGTGTTGCATATGTGTATTTTAGAACCTATGAAGATGCTCGTGATGCTCGCCATTCTAAAGCGAGACTTGTGCTTTTTGATAAACCTGTGCAAATTGAACCTGTTTTTGACCGAGGTGTGTCAGGCAGGAGAAACAGGAGTATTAGTCCTGAGTATAGTGGTATGCGTGGTGTGTCACCTGCTCATTCTTCTGCCAGCAACAATAGTATGGGACGTCATGTGCTCGGCAGCAGACAAAATGCAATTGAACGTAATCAACCATATCCTCACCCTCGTGATGAAATGAGAAGGGATATGCATAATGATTTTCATCATCATCCTATTCATCGTCGAGAGGATTCTAAAAAAGAAAAATTTCCAAATTATTTGCATCATGTGCCACCTGAAGAAGATGACAAAGCTACACGAACTTTGTTTGTGGGTAATTTAGAAGTGACTATATCGGAGGCAGAACTCCGAAGGATATTTGAAAGATATGGTGTTGTGGAAGATATTGATGTAAAGCGACCTGCTCCTGGTTTGGGCAATGCATATGCTTTTATCAAGTTTTTAAATTTGGATATGGCTCACCGAGGAAAAGTGGAAATGTCCGGTCAATATATTGGAAAATTTCAGTGTAAAATAGGTTATGGTAAAGCTACACCTACTACTCGCATATGGGTCGGTGGCTTAGGCCCATGGACCTCATTATCTCATTTAGAAAGGGAATTTGACAGATTTGGTGCTATCAGAAAAATTGATTTTGTGAAAGGTGAAAATCATGCATATATTCAATATGATAGTATAGATGCTGCACAAGCTGCATGTCAAGAAATGAGAGGCTTTCCCCTCGGAGGTCAAGACAAAAGATTGCGTGTAGATTTTGCAGATCCAGGTCCTTACAGTTATTATCAATCGCCATCCAGAGCTGGTTTTCGGGAGGAAGAAGGTTATATACCTCCACCACCTACTAAAAGACAAGGTTTTAGGAGTGATGTGCAACCAGCTACAGATGATTATTATGGAGGTTTAGACAATAACTGGTCTAGGAATAACATGTATGAAAATCAACCTTATGATCCTATTTATGATAGATCACCAAAGTTTCAAGGTAGAGATTCTTGGGGACTACCTGAACATGAGGAGCGACATGACTATCGGGCGTGGAATCGTAATCATCAGGGTTGGTGGGATGATCATCCAAGAAATACCAGAAATGATAATCCAGATAGGAGAAAGCGTGGCAGATCTCCAGATATGGATGATGCAGGACGTTTGGGCCATGACATTTATTACAAACGTCCTCGCTCTCGCAGCCCTGAAAGGAGTGATTTTGAACGCTCCTCTGCTAGCAAAGATACTGTTTCACCACGCCGCAATCGCAGTAATGGTGGCATTAACCGACGAATGTCTCGAGAAGGCCATTTGGCTTCTGAAGGAAGACAGGAATTTCGCAAAGATTATGATTATGATTCAGCCAAAAGTGAAAGGAATCGTCGACAAGATTTTGACAAAAAAAGACAGCTTCATGAAAACCTTTTAAAAGACGGTGTTGCAGTAGCTGAAAGTGTCGACAACTTACAAGATTTGGCAAAGTGTTGTCCAGTTGCTTGGCATGGTGGATTAGTTCTAAAGAATAGTGCATTTCCTACACGAATGCATGTATGTAGTGGTGATCCTTCATTGGTCGATTACATGATGAAAGACCTTGCTTGTGAAGTTCCGATGCTTAGGATTACTCAAAGATTAAGATTAGATCCTCCTAAACTTGATGACGTGTCACGTCGGATATCCTCTGCAGGACCTCATGGGCACTGTCTACTTTTAACATTTCCTGGTCCAATACAACCTGGAGAAGACCAGTCTGCTTCAGTGCAGCAGCGCCCTCTTCGAAATCTTGTATCATACCTTAAACAAAAAGAGGCAGCTGGTGTTATATCACTGCCTAGTAATACAAAAAAAGAAGGGAAAGATGCAAGTGGTGTTATGTATGCTTTCCCACCATGTTCATTTGCATTGGATTTATTAAGACGTATTGCTCCCAATTTAACATCAGACTGTTCCAAAGAGGATCACTTGGTAGTGGTGGTAGTTAAGGGATCGTCATAAATACAATTTTCACAAATGTTTTAGCCATGCATAAGACAGAATGGTGTTTGTTTGAATAAAGTGTTTATGTGATCTGCCTAAATCAATACTTCTCAAGTGCGTAGTTACATATGTGTGAACCATTCAGTGCCACAGATGTGAAGGGTTAATTCAGTTATTATTTTTTTCCCATAATACTTCTGCTACCCATATTCAGCTCACATTTTTAACATGTTGCATTTCAACAAAATGTGCATTTTACTCATTGTGATATACAACCATGCTGTTATCCTTTATTTAATATAAATTTTCTTTTATCTTCTATTTTACTTCAAATTGGAAAATGATTATGCAACAATATTTTAAATCAAAACTGGCACAATCAATATTAAAAGTGAACCAAAGTGGCTTGGTGCATCATACTGTAAATTTCATTTAAATGTTATGAAATTTGTTGAATACTTAATTATTTGTGCTTCATTTTTTATGCAAATAAGAATGTCGTGATGAAAATATGTGGCGTCGGAAATTTCTGTGTGAACAAAAATCTCAAACGTTTAGATTGTTAAAATTTTATCTTTTAAGACATTGTGAACATCATTTCTGTATGTTTGAAACTATGTTATGCAAAAAAAAAAAAAAAAAAGAAAAAGAAAATAGCATTCAGATGAATAATATTCATTATTGTCTACTTGCATATATTCTACTGCCATTTTTAATTTTTGTCATAAAAGTGTATATACACATCTTTGTTAATTTTGTGTTTAAGCATGTGTAAGTTAATTGTTGAAAGAAAATTGAATGAATGCAATGGTATTAACAATTGATATTAAAGAAATCATTTAATTTGTTTTAAAAAAATTAACTTTTATATTTAATATTTATGCTCAGTATAATTATTCTTGGAAATAAGATTGAAATTTCAGTTTTATCATGGGATTAGTAGTCCTTTGAATTAAAGTGGCTTACTCTACAGCTTTGGTGTCTAACATCTAAAAAGCAAATAAGTTTTACATTACAAGTTTGGAGATTGTAGTTTTCTCAATTTTACTGATTAACCACAGTGGTTGTTAATAGGAAAATCCCAAAATTTTCATAATTATTCATTTATGAGAGTAAAATGAATATTTGTGCATCCTCTGGGATAGGTTAAGTTAATCATCATGCTGTTGAAGTAGCCAGTTTTGAGAACTGTTTTTTTTTTTTTTTTTTTTTTTTTTTTTTTTTTTTTTAAGTTGTAAATAATATTGTTGATAATGTCATATGTATCATAAGTTATGAATTAGAATTGCAAAATTTACAGGTTCACTGTATCTGCTAACATAAGTTGGTAAATTTAATAGAATTGTAGTTAAAAATATATATAAAGTATTTTCTAAATAAATATTATTTCAGTTTTCCTTATATTTTAACAGATAGATTATTTATAATAATTATAATCATAATACTAGAAAAAGAGAAAAGAAGGCAAATAGTGTTGTTGACAATTTCTCTTTCTGTGTATTCATACTGTAGGGGTTGTGTGGCTAAAAATGCTAATTTTGATGCTGTGTGTAGTGTGCAAAGCATCTTGCATTTTGAAAAGAATTACATTTCATATCTTTGGCATGCAGTTTTTGTGTATAAAAATTTAGGGCCAATATTTGATCTTTTGACATCCTGTGTTTTCCCTAAATTTTTGAATTTTTTCTGCCCATTGTAAATTTTCATGACAGCTTTCTCGGTAATGCTGTTCAAATTGGAAAAATATACTTAATTATTACATTTATTGTAAGGGGAAGGTCTTGATTGCAGCATGACTATAGATATATGTTTTATTAATTTTTGTATAGTACATAAAAACTTGCTTTCAATGTTCTGTTGTGTATTACAATTTTAGAATTATGATTCCACCCCTTTCCATCAGTGCTGTTAAACTTTCCAGTTCTTCCAAATAGATTTGGGGAAAAAATAGGAACCATTTCAAAATGGTTTGTAGCAATAAACTACACTTCTTCATCATATATACATTTCCTATAACAGTACTTCTTAGTTATGCCCTGGCTACACTTTTTGGCAGCCCTGAAAGAGTCAAACACACAAGTGTAACTAGAAATAGATGTGTTGATATCTATAAACTATTCTTAAAAGCAGAAATTGTTTGCTGTTAAAAATGCGACATTTACCTTCTCTTTCACGAGGGGTAAAAAAGCTTGTAATGGAAAAGTATGCTCAATACTATAAACCACTTTTAACATTTCTTTTTATTTAGGAATAGTGTCAGTTTTATCATTTCTCGGTGTTATAGTAACTTCAGATGAATTTATGAAAGTATGTCATTTCATTAATATGTATAACTTATAAAAAATTAATCATTAATTTAAAACTGATTAAAGTAATGTATCCTTTAATTAAATAAATGTCCTTCTCAAATCCTTTAGTGAAAGTATCCAGATCTAGGTTAAGCTTTTAGTAATTAATTGTTTTGATACATATAATATTGTAAAACAAGATACCAGATGTTAAAAAAACAAAGTGTTCCATTCTATTTGAGGATAGTTTGAATTGTTTTTCCAGTGTACGAATGTAAAATCATTATTGGAGTAAATCCAAGTTACGAGCTTTTATGTTTTCAATTGTTTATATGATAATCTTTTAAGAAATAAGGCTGGTTCACTTTGGTTTCATTTGTGTTTTTCGGAACAGCATTGTTAATTTTCAAAGCAGAACATTTTGGTCCCATTAAGTTTTTTTTTTTTTTTTAAAGCAGGATATATTTGAAAAATATTTTTTGATTGCACCACATAGAGGTATTGTTAGCATAGCAATCTTTTTTTTCTTTACTTTATTGTTCGTTTAACGTACATGCTTACATACATAATGTAATTAAATAGTTATATACAGTATAAAAATGCATAATTGCATATAAATAAGGCTATTAAAAAATCTTTAACTTTGTCCAGGAGCAAATTTTCTGCAATTCTTCACAGGTATTCCTGTATTGTGCAGCTATTACTGTTGTACCAGAAATTTGTTATGTTTTTAGAAATTTTTCCTAACATTTTGGTTGTACTAAAATGCTGGTACCGTAAGTCATAGACCAGCTGTTCTGTTTGTTTAACTGATTTAATACAAGTGACCTGGTTTTCGGCCAGTTACAACATTCAGCATGCTTTTCAGTCTTGAAATAATCATATCTGGTTTTCATTTGAAAACAGGTAATTGGTTATTGTTGGGTATTGGTTGAAATTGGGTTATTGGTTATGAAATGGGTTGAGCAATGGAGAGCTATTTACTTAAGGGCAAAGAAGACTTTCTGATAGAATTTGGTTCATGTTCATTCTTCACATGGAGAAAACCTTTAGCAGTCATCCTTTCGGCTGGCATACAAACCCACCAGTGTTCAAAAGTCTGATCTACTTGAATCCAATGGATTTTAAAATTGGCTGTATTACTTCCTTTCACTTTTTAAGTTTTTTAATAACTATTGTATGGATGTTATATGTTTTTAATATTATAGTAGTAAAAAGAGTAAAAGTATTGGCACTCTTCTGTTATCAGGACCGGATTCAGGAATGTCTATATGTATATGCATTTCTGAATCCAGTCCCGATAACAGAATACCAAAGGGTACTGTTCTGTTATCAGGACCGAATTCAGAAAAATATTGAATGTATGTGTATATATATGCACATAAATTCATACGCACGTGCATACATCCCTACATTTTTAAATCCGATCCTGATAACAGAACAGTACGTACCAAACTATTACTAGAAATAAAAGTTTGTATATGAAATTTATAGAAATAATGGGTCTGGAAAGAAAAGATAAGTTTGATGACAGCTGTTACATACATACTTGCTCAACATGCATTATAACCATGAAAAGTACAAAATTATTAGAATTAGATTTATTAGGCTACGACACACAAACACTAAGTGAGCAGCTGGGTTTGAAAAATAACACTGCCAAATGATTTAGTGCATAGCATTTGCCGAGTTATCCATAATTCTCTAAAGCGTTTTAAGAATTTATAACAATTTAATTATGCACAAATGCTGGACATGTCCACATTTTCTGAAATTCTGTGCAATAAATTGTGTTATCCCATGCATGTGCTAGTATATCTTGATAAGCCATAGCATTATTGATGTAATTGTGATGATCTTGAATATTAATGAGAAGTATGATTGACAAATCTTCACAGGAAAATGTCATATGGGGTTAAATCCAAAAGCCATATGCGATGACTATTGCATAAATAAACTTCTTTTCTAGAATGACCTATCCACCGTAGTGATCAGTTTTGATTTGAGATATTCGTTGCATGTGGTCTCTACTTTTTTTTTGGGGGGGGGGTAACATTTAGCTAAGATAATTTTGATAATGGTGTCTGTGGTAATGGGTTAGAAAAATATTTTGAAAAGAGGCATCATCACTAGTTTTCACTGAACTGTATCAGTTGACTTTTCAGTTATGTCCAGAAAAAGTCCTCTTCCCAGTAATGCACCATTGTCTACCATGGCACCAAAGGTGAACATATTGAGCATTTGTGGAATATTTTAGAAGAAATTATAATCAATGTTCCTCTGCTGCAGTGCAGTTGAACATACTATTAGTTGTGTAGTTTATTTGCTGTGAATTTTAAAATTGTGCTATGGACTTAAGTGTTACACTGTGTAACAAACTGAAGTATATTTGAATTCAAAGTGTATTTTTAGATTTGTTGATAAACAAATGAAATTTTAGGTTTCTCTTCTATTTAGTGCTTTCATCTAAGTGAAAGGATTAATTTATAGAGCTTTCTTATTTTATGTTAGCAGATGAAATGAGCTGTAAATTTTGTTTGGTTATGATATTGTAATAAATATTATACATCATTATATGGTGTACATGATATTACTTTCCTTCATTTTCTTTTTAATCTATAATGAATTATACTTATTGCTTAAACTGCACATCATATGTTATAAATTTAAGCAGAATAATACTGTATTTTTGAATGGTATACTTAGGAGCATTGGTTATTTTTAAAAGTCCTAAGTAAAATACACAGCATTTAAATTAGTAGCAACAACAATTTGGTTGTTGCTACTGCTGCTATTCACATAAAAGGATTTTTTATAGTATTTTATATTAAGTGAATATTGTTTTGACAGTATTATATAATGTTTATAATTCTTTTAGGTAGTCAGCAAACACATTTATGTTTTAGAAATAAAAAAGTATAGGTAACAAAAAAACTGCATAATGAACTTTGGTTTTGTTTATATAAAGCGATTAAATCTGTGTCTTTCAGTATCATTCAGTTGTAAATTGGATTGTAGCTTCTAGTGCTGTTAGGGTTAAGTTTGTCATATATTGATTAATTTTCACATATTCATTTAATAATATATGTATGTATACATATCTTGAAAATATTTTCAAAGGTGTTTTAATTTGTATAAAAAATAAGAGATGCTGTTTTAAGTGATAACTATAGAATTGTGTGACATATTTCAAATGTTTTCAAACGTCTTATTGTTTTAAAAAAGGGAGGTGCAGCCTTACCTCTTTATGGATAACATTCTTTATTTTTCTCATTAATAAATTCTAATTTATTATTATGCTTAAGTGTTCTTAATGGTGAAAACAACACTAATAATGCTTTAAAATGGTGTGTTTGTCATTATATTATGAAATTATGTGATAAAATTTGTTTTGTTATTAGGAATCATAAAAAGGAAAGTTTGAAGGCAAACTGAAAATTGATTAAATTTTTAATGTATGTAATGATAGTTGAAAATTAATGTAATCATATTATTTTACAGATTTAGTTAAAAATGTCTTTAAACAATTAACCAAAGAAAATTTTAATTTGTTGTCAAAGAACATCTATCGAGAATTGTTCTGATTTTTTTTCTTTTTAACGTATCATTAATTCAACATTAGTTTATAAGTAATTCTGTTTGCATGTGACTGCAATAGTTGCATCCTTGTAAACAGATCAGTATGTGAGAAGTTTTAAAATGTATGTGTTTTTTAAATAAGCATCAGAAAGCATTTTATAAAGAATCACTTACTGTTTGTAATATCTGCTTTTTTAACTGGGCAAAAGAAGAAAAGGTCTTAAATAAGAAAAATATCCATAAGTAAGAACAAATTCAGTGCTTAATAGTATATGGAATTTTTAGCTTGTCAGATCTTAAACGGATCAAAATCATCAAATTTAAATTACAGACTTCATATATCTGCTATTTATATATGTTTAAATTTGCAGGTCCATTGTTGAAATTGGAAAAACAGTCATTAAGATTATGAAATTTAGTATTTGGAAGTTAGTTAAAATATTTTTAAATAAAATTGTATAGTAGAAATACTCTGTTCAATCTAGGCTAATCAAATATTAAAATATTTTATTAGAATTTGAATAATTTGCCTTAGTATATCTGGAAATTTTTCTGGCTATGTATGCCATTCAGGTTTTATTAAATGTAATTAAAAATTTTATTGCTGAGAAATTTAATCAAGTTGTCTAATATGTATTATATTCTATGATCAGAACCTTTTAAATAAAACAAGTATAAGTTTTTTTGTTCTTTTAATAAGAAATGGGAGAATGTTCTTTTTTGGAGGGAAGGCACTAATACAGCAGTATTTTCCCCTCATTCATTGGCATTAAAACTCGATTGAAACTAATGTGGGAATGAGAGAGACATATAGGTAAACATTAGTATAGTTTGATCTAAAATTTAGTTTATAATTTATAGAATCTAAAATTTAGTTCTATAGAGATCTAAAATTTAGTTTATAATTTATAGATTTTATCGTATTATAGAAGAAAAATATGATTAGATTATTAAATGACTGGAAAGTCTGAAATTTTAATACATACCTAAATGTAAAGCTTTTTAAAAGTGAAGATTATTTCTGTTTTTTGTTTTTCACCAATTTTTTTTAAAGTCAATTAAAACAAGAATATACATAACATCAAATGCATCATTAAATTCAGTTTTTGAAACTTCTGATAGTTTTGTAACTATCAGGGAATCTTTTATTAAATCATCTTTAATTGTCTCAATTCATCATTGTCATATAAAATTTCACTGACTATTTCTTGAACATTTCTCAGTTCTACTGTCTTCAGATTTTCATCCATGTGTAAAGTTTTTCAAAACTAATCAGTTTGCCTGATAAAGTATTCTATTCTGCATCATTTACTATATCTACTGTAGTGATTTTTCAGTTTCATTTTCTGAAACAAATTTTGCTTTCATGAGGCTATCCTTATGGCAAATTTTGGGGATATTCTTTAATGAATAACGTTAATTGCAGATTCTTGAAGACAAATACTGCATTTTTTTGTATAGAATTTCAAAAAGTCTTTAAATGAAAGAATTTCTCTATGTTTTTGTACAAGTAACTATTCCAAGCTTTAAACATCTATATTATGCAAGAAAATCTTCTATTCCAAAAATCTGTAGGATGATAATTGCTTTCCTTAGTAAGTCACAGCTATTAGTTACATTGGAGGTAAAAGCTTATTGAAACCATAGTACAAGTACTCTTTCCATCCAATCAGTTTCCCATTTTATAGCGAGTTTTAAAATTTTCTGCTGAAGATATCTTTAGTGCATTAAGCAAGCATCTCCTCACACATTTTAATCATTTCTGAACAAAAATTCAGAACAGTAACTTATCCATCTTCAAAACTGTGAAAATTTACTCACCATATTATGTTCACAGCAAAAGACTGTTCAAGTGAGAACAAGTAATTTGTTCATGTCTGATTGATATTAATCCTTTCTTTGATACAAAAATACTGAATTACCTTCTTAGTTGAAATAATAGATGCATAGAGCATAACCATAAATAAAATATAAGAATATGCATGGATAAAAGATCAAAAGAATTAAAAAGAGCCAATATGAAAAATCATATGCTGCAGTGAAGCATGTTAGCAAAAGGTATAAATGAAAATTTCTATGATAGTATGTAACAGAGAGATATATTTTAAATTGCAATATGCAAGTGAAATTCCTGTCACATTTTTGCTAAATAATCAAAGCAATATATAGTGATTTGTCACTTGTAAATCTGCAAACAGACTTATAATTGGGAGATTATTGTATATTGCTTTGTCTTTTTAAATAATTTTCAACCAAATATATGTTAATAGAATAATGTTAGCAAGACAGAGAAAATAATTATAAATTTACTTCTGTAATCAGGTCCATATCAAGAGTGACCTTACCATAAATATTCTGTAGTGAGAGTTGCGAGTGATTTTAAGCCATTGAATTGCATTTGTATTAGCATTATTTGCTCTTAACTTTTCAGATTATTACTGTATATTCCGACATATAACACACATCTGTAATTTCAAACTATGTTTTAAAGTTTTTAGGTATAATCAGGATATAACGTGTACCCTTTTCTTTAAGAAGAAACCGAGAGATACAAGTGCGATGCTCTTACCTTTTAAAGTAATTCATTCAGAGATTTTTCCCAGGCTTTGGAATAATGGTATACTGAATTGATAAGCAGAAGGTGGTGGGGGTATTCAATGCAGATGTGCACAAGAATGTTGTTCTAGGGTTTCTTGAAAAGATAAACATAATTTCAGGTAAGAATGCACTTCTGACCTGAATAAATTTATGGAATTAGGAGTCAGATATTTTCTCTGAAAGAATGAGAGCACACGTAAAGGAAATAATCCAATAATGAAAATTTTATAAGTTTGTAAGTTGTGTCATTTCTTTTAAACAAACAGCATTTAAGTTACGTGGGAAAATCTAATATCTATATGCTCTTCTTTTTCTTATTTTTAGATATATCGGTTTTATATTCGGCATATAACGCACACGTGTAAATTTCAATTTTGTTTTTTTATTAAAAATGCACATTATATGCCAAAATATGTGGTAATTCTTATTATTTATAGGCTACAGCTTTTATTAGTTTCCCTTTTTATTATGTAATTTCGATTTATATCAAAAAGCCCATTTATCATTTCCTTTATTGTGTATTTTAAATAGCCAGATAGATCTTTTCTTACCATTCAGTGTTCCTTCACGAAATGTTTTTGTCAAAGTGTTCAGTTTTTTAATACCAAGTTAACTGCCAAATCTTTACTCATGCTTTTCATAGTAAAATTAGCTAAATAGGACTGTTAGATTTTGTTTAGTATTTATATCTGTTCTTATGAACTTAAATATTTAAAAAAATAGTTATTTTTTAATTTTTCTTTTCAATACCCTTCTTTAATTTTTCATCTGAGGCAAATGTAAATGTATTTATATTTCAGTTAAATAGTATTGACATAGAATTTTATTTTGTAATCTGTAGTTTGTTTTTAAATATGCAGATTTGTTCCTTGCATGAGAAATTACATTAATTCCAAATGACAAATGCTATTCACTTTTGTAAATTTTAATTCTGTTATTCAGAATGTAATGTTGTTGTAGAATAGTTTTTGAAATTGCTTGCACTAATTTCATAATCTGGGTAAATGAAAAGGCATAGCTTAAGCTTGTTTTATAGGTACTTCGTAAATAAATTAAAATTATGCCGAAGAAATAAATGTTTACTTTTTATGCTATTCAGCACCATTCATTTATAATCAATTAAGTGACATATGTATTAATATATATGTAATTCATGATAGTGCATCTTTTTTGTTTTGAAGATTTTTTTAATATTGCAATAAATACATATTTTAAAAGATAACAAAAATATGTGTAATATAAAGTTGATAAAAAAAACACTAGTTTTAAAACTATTTTTGTAAAATGCTATTGCTTTTGAATAATCTTAGTTTTACTTGACGGAAGGGAAAAAATTATTCATAATCATTCAGTATTTTTTTAGCAACAATGTAATTTATGTTGTAGAATTTCATGTTTCCTTGAAGGTGAGTTCGTCATACAGAAGTCAAGTTTTTGTGGTTTATGACTAAATTTTTACTAAACATAACTTTGAGCATTGTATAAAAAGTTAGATTTTTAAATTTTTACAAAATTGATTACTTAAATTTTAAAATGCAAAAACACGAATATTTGCCTTATGTAAAACATTTTTATAGTGGAAAATATGTTTCTATGATCAGTAGCTGCAAAAATAAAGGCAACATATGCATTTTTATGAACACTGTGGATATTTTTTTAACATATTTTCTTAGTGTTGTTAACTAAATTATTTTCTTAATGTTATTTTACTTTTACATATGATCGCTTTATGTAAATTCTGTCATATAAAATATAATGCACTGCATTTAGTGAGTATTATACTTTTATGTGAAATTCTTCCTACTAAAGACCTTCTACTAAGCATTGTTTAATAGCTCTAATGAATGATTTGTTTTAACAAATTTATTTTAAATATGTTCTTAAGTGACATAAATGTTTCCTTTTATAGTTTTAAATTAAAAGCAATAAAATAAAATAAAGTCTAAAAACTTGTGATGTGCAGTTAAGCTCTTATCAATATGTATACATAAAATAATTAAGAAAGATATAAATTGAATATAGTTTTGAATTTATGGTGTTACGAATGCACAAAATTAAATGCAACTGAGTGTGAAGTGTATAATAGTATATGTAATAAGTAGTTGACCTTACTAAATCTTAAGGATTTAATTTTGAGGTTTTGTAATGAGCTGATGTATATTCTTAAAATAAAAATGAGCCTGTATAAACACTGTAAATATTGAAACATTTGAGAGATAAATAGAAATTTAATTCATTTTAGATCATCTTTCATTAAAGTAAGTTAGTTTCTTGTTTATTTAAAGCAGTTAATATATTTTCTATTCCAAAAGTACTAAAATAAATTTAAGAAGCATTTTAACTAATTTGTGTATCATGCAAAATTTCAAAGTATTCACTCAAAATTTCGTTATAAAGAGCAAATTCTCTACATTTTTTTAATCATTTCTGCAAGTGTTATTGAATAAATGTTTTCCTTAATTCATTCTTTTGATATCAAAGCAGATTTTTATGAAAATAATTTTTGCAACTTGTGGATGCTAGTGAATATAGTCTATATTTAATATTAAATTACATATCAGTTATTTATAAATATGTGTGAAAAAGATATGGATCTTAAAAGGTGGAGTGTTGAGTTTTTGCTATGTTCTAAATGTATTCAAATTTGAAAATCTGATATGTATATAAAATTATTTCTGTATTATTTTTAAGGATGCAATTATATAACTTTTATGATCTAAAGTTGTGTCTTTTAACCATTTTCTGTTAAAAATTTTGTCTGAATATTTGGAAAGTAGATTTCTAAGTTATATTATAATTTTTTATGCAAATGAAGATTTAATGTAAAAAAAAAAAAATGGATAAATTAAGAACTCAGTGTTTTTTCTTTGAATGTACGCACTGAATAACTATCAATATATTTTCATAAATATTATATGTGTTATACAAAATATCAGAGAGAGATTCAATTTTTATATTATTTACAATAATAAAAATTTTAACTCTACCTTTGCAATTTATGAGTTGCAAAGGTAGAACTTTCATTATTAATGAGGCTGTGAGTAAAACATTTTGCTTAAAATACGTACATTTGATATTGAAAAAAAAAATATTTTCATAACGTGAATCATTTTTTTGAATGCTGTATCACTGGTGAACTTATTTGTAGATTTTTATTTATTCAACAGAAAATACTCATAGAAATTAAATAAGTGTTTCATCCTTCTTAGATGCTTTGCAAAGCAGTAAATAGACATGTTATAAATAGCATGATATGTTGGTTTTAATATTATATTCAGCAATGTTATACATTTGAAGCAAATAAATTAACATTTCTGCTATTAACTGTTGTGAGCATTCATTTGAAATCAAAATAAATGAACTCTGAATACTTAAATTGTTCAAAACTTCTATGGAATAGTTATCTACACAGTATTTTTCACAAAGTGTGTATTCTCAGACTCCCTGTGAAATCTTACAAGGTTTGTCTAATGAAGGTGTAAATTTAGACGTCCAAAACATTCATTTATATAATAAATCTGTGTATATTTTCATTTTACTTATTTTGTAAATTAACTTAGTCCTCACATTTGTAACTGTAAAAATTTTGAGACATCAGAAACTATTTTCATTGCTGAAGTGAAATGTGTCCTTCACTCCTGTATGGCACTAAATGATTGTTAGTAAAGTGTTATCTTAAAATATTTTGTGTCTGCTTTTTTTCCATATGTATATGTATTTCATGTTGCTGTTAATCAGAATATTATAGTAATACTTTAATATAAAGATATATTTCTGACATTTTATTTTAAAATTCATGAAACATGCCATAAAGCTTTTTCAAGAGATTTGAAAATATACATAATTAAGTTAATAATGCATATCAATTCCTTTGCCTGCATTTAAGTTAATGATTCTGTTGCAGAAATTAATTATATAAGCTCATACAGAATACGCCTTAAGCAAAAATTTAGCATTTATTTATTTTTTTAAATTAACTGGAAGAGAGAAATAAAGTTTTCTGAACCAAACTAGAGTAATATAGTAAAATGTGTAGTAATCGTTAAGTTACAGTTCTCCTTGGGCCTTCAGTAGTGACCGGTATATAGAGAGAAAGAAGTTAGATAAAATAGTAACCTATCCTCAATAAAAATATGTTTATATTTTATATAAATATGTATATATTGGATTTGATATATTATCTGAGAATATTATTATTGTAAAATGTATAAATGATTACACCTGTTTAATTTGTAATTATTTCAAAGGACGAGTGGGAAGAGGTACACCACTCATGAGCATATACAATGTCATGTTCATTATTAAATTCTTTTATGATGGTCCCATGTCCCATCAGTATCTGAACAGTTAAAGCCTACTGAATTCTGGGAATTCGATACCAGGTGAATAGGCTTTCTACATGTTTAGTTTTGTCCTGCCCCCCCATGTGTAATGTGAAAACGAACCAGTTTCTTTTTGAAAGTTCTTCATGAAGGCATCTCTTGCTTTAGCAGATAGCCTTTGTATTCTTTGCCATGTCACAATAATCCAACCTAACCTGATCTTTGATGATGCTCTGTTTTGGGTCTCCTGTAGTTGCTGACTTTGATTGGTAATCAACTCCATCTTCTTGAAACCAATTTTGGAGAAGAAATATTTTTGTTAAAATTAAGGAAAAGGCTTTCTTTTGCCTTATGTGTAGAGGAATGGTCTAGATATGAATTGAAAACGTTATGTTTTGTAATCATTGTGCAACATTAAAATTGAAATTTTAATAGCAGATCTTCAGCTATAGCTTCAGTTTCAGACCACAAAAGCAAAATCCTTATTCAGGGTTTGTACGGTCCTTAAATCCTTAGATTTTTTGGAATCGATTTTTGGTCCTTAAAAGTCCTTAATTTTTGTCAAAATCAACAGAAAGTCCTTAAATTTAATCATCTAAAATTTCTGTCTGTTTTTACAACTGTCATTTTGAGTGTGAATTAGCATTTTGAAGAATATTTTTGGCAATTCACTGTCGTATATATGGTAATCTTTTGAATGGGTTCATGAGTTATAATTTGTTTCTATTTCTAATAAAAATGATGGAATACTCGAGTTTCTAAGCAAGAAGTGAAACATAAGCATTTCGAAATTCATTTTTTCTAGTAAAGAGCTCTTAAACAACTTTTTGCTTTTGGGGATGTTAATTCTTTTATTAAACGGTTCAAAATTTGGCGACTTTTCAACATTTTGGTGATTTTAAGATTAGTTTCTATAGAAACTTTTTAATTCCAAAATCTGAGAATTTTTCAACAATTTTTTTAAAACATTGTAACATTGATAAATTTTATTAAAATAATGGTAGTATATTTAAATTATATTTAAAAAATAACATTAAAATAAAACATTTTTGTTTTTCATTGTCATATTATAAAGTTTCATTTTGGCAACTTATACAATATTTTAAATCTGAAAAATAAACAAGATATAATGCTATAAAACACAATTTATGAAACAGCTCTTAGCAAAAGCAAAATTAGCTGTATAATTAATTAAAAATGTCTTTTTTAAAATTTTTTCATAGTAAGAGTTTTTCCCATGTAATTGTCTCAGAATATTCAAAATTCTCAGAATGTGCATCAGTTTTCTCTATAAAATTAATTTTATTTATTATTAAATATTTTGAACCTCCTACTTTTTTCCAAAATATGTCTGGCTTTTTTTCTATTACAGAAATGGTAGGGATAATTTTTCTTTAGGATTTTAGACATTGCAGCTTGGAAAGTTTAGAAGGATTTGAAGGCAAGATTTATAGACCTAGATTCTAGAAGATTTGAGAAATATGTGACAAAATGAAAAATGTCTCCATGGTATCAACATGTAGTGGATGTATTTTACAGAAAGTTTGCAATGAGTTTCTTAATTTTGGGAGAACATCTGGAAGAACGATGTATTTTACAGAAAGTTTGCAATGAATTTCTTAATTTTGGGAGAACACCTGGAAGAACAATGAAAACATAATATTTGAATGTATTATTTCTGATACTAGAATTTTAACATGTTTATCTTTTTATTTTCTCTACTTTTCACTAGACAGAAGCATGCAAAATATCAAAAATGCTTCTGATCTTATCACATGGACAGGCATTATAGAAAGGAATTTTTTTATTAATAAAGAAATTGAAAACTTACAGTTTAAAAGATTCATCTAATATTTCTTAATGCATCATACACATACCTGGCAATAGGCATTTTTCCACCTGATGCAATCTCTGTGGATACTAAATTCTGTTGCCTACTGCCTTTCTAAATTCTGCTTCCAATGCTTGCTTTAAATTCTAAAAGTTTTGCCATTTCTAGATTTTGTTGCTTGGGGCACAAATTCTAACTCTGCCATCTCTGTAACGTTTTACATAATTTATATGCTCTGAGTCATTCTAAGAAAAAATTGCCGTTGTCTTCAAGCTTAGTTTTTTAGAATACGGAAACCTATTAATCCAAAATTAAATGAAAAAACTGTAGAAGAACGAGTAATAAGGATTCTCAAGATACAGGGGTTGGACAAAAATATGGAAACACCTTTAAAAAAACATGTTTCTTTGCTTAATATGGTGTAGGAAACCCGTTGGCATCCAAAAACAGCTTGCAGTCTTCTCGGAATGGATAAATACAGTTCCTGTATGTTTGCCAAGGGAATATTATACCATTCTTCCTGCAAAACGGTGGCAAGTTCAGATAACGATGTTGGCGGTGGATAACGAGAACGCACTTTCCGTTCCAATGTAGACCACAAAGGTTCGATAATATTCAGGTCTGGTGACTGTGGTGGCCAGGGGAGATGGGACAACTCATCCTCGTGCTCAGAAAACCAGTCCTGGACAATGTGAGCTGTGTGAACAGGGGCTTTGTCGTCTTGGAAGACACCATCACCATCGGGGAACAAAGTTTGTACCATGGGATGAACTTGATCGGCCAAAATGTTCACATAAGTCTTGGCAGTCATGTGCCCTGACACAGTTATCATGGGGCTAGCAGAGAACCACGATATGGCTGCCCAAACCATAACAGAACCCCTGCCATGTTTCACTCTTGGCAACAAGCAGTCTGTATTATAGGCTTGAGATGGCGTTTTCCAGACGTAAACTCGGCCAGAAGTGGGAAACAATGTGAAAGAAGACTCGTCAGACCATATTACTCGCTTCCACTGCTCTATAGTCCAGGCTTTATGACTTAAACACCACCTTTTCCTGTTACGGGCATTAGCATCACTGATGAGTGGCTTCTCAATTGCAGCACGGCCAGCAATTCCCTGTTTATGAAGCTCCCTTCTAATTGTTTTGGTACTCACAGGGTTCGGTAACACAACATTCATTTCAGCAGTAACTTTTGCAGCTGTGGTCTTCTTATTTTTCGTCACAATTGCCCTTAATGATCGTCTGTCACGATCACTCAGGACACACTTTCGTCCGCGCTGTGATTTAGCAGATGATGTTTTTCCGCTTTTCAAATATGCGGAATAAATCTTCGATACAGTACCTCTTGAAACACTAAACACCTCGGCTACCTTGCTTACGGAAGCACCTACCATACGTGCTCCAACAATTTGCCCACGTTCGAAGTCTGTTAACTCTGACATAATGCAATGACAACCTCACATAACAGTACTCCGACAACAACTGAACTGTTTAGCACATTTACGAAGTTGTATAGGTGGCGTCAGTAGTCAAAAAAACGCCAGCGCCACCTACATATTTCATTAAAATCAATCTTTCTTTTCAAACATGCATTTCACAAGGTGTTTCCATATTTTTTGTCCATCCACTGTTCAGTTATTATGTAAATTACCCAATTGTTTGACAGTTACTATGATTTCCCATTTTATTCCTCATATGATAGTTATGAGCCAGAAAATTAAATTAAATTTATAATCTTTGACCACTAGTCCACATTATTTTAATTTGACTGTTCTTGTTTAATTACGTCAGTGAGCTGTAATGATTTTGTTAGCATCAAAACATGCCTTTATGTTCTAAGTTCTTTTTAAATAAGAGGCTTATTTAAACCTTTGTCTGATATTGTAGTTAATTTCAGACATAGTGATAATATGCTTCACGTCTGTCGGGGGTTTTGGACTATTTAACTTTTACCAGATCAGTTAAACCCTCATAGGTACATTATGGAGAGATTGATAAGTTAGGAGACGAAGCACACAGAAACTAGTGAGAGCATTGATTTGCATATTGAAACAAATCTCTAATTGTTAGAAAAGATGCTTAAAAGAGAAGGAAATCTATATAAACGTTCAAATATGACCAACTATCATAAGTGTAAAATATTTAATGCTACTTGATAAATTTGCATAGTATATTTTATTCTCAAACTTATTAACAATTATGTTAATTCATGTTTAGTAATAAAGTGTACTACTTCGGGATCTATTTTATTTTTAGGATGGTACTATAAAAGTGAAATTCAGGCATAGATAATATCTTCAATTGAATTTATTCAGTTCCCGTTTGCTCATAGATCCTTAATTTTTTTTCATTAATGGTCCTTAAAAGTACTTAATTTCCGTATGCAGAAATTTGTACGAACTTTGTTATTGCTACCTAAAAGCCTGTTAATGACATTATTTATGATAATACAAGCTGTGTTTTCAATATCATTTTTAACTATTACATATTTAAATGAAATTTCTGATCCTCTCAATTTAAATTCTCAT